TCTTTGTTTTGATGATAACTGTTAGGAAATTTATATTTAAGAATTATATACTCTAAAATTTGTTTGAGAGTTTTACTGCAGTTTAAAATTATATTGACTCTCTAGAAGCAAATCTGTCTTTGAATACAAGAAGTTATTCTGAATCTGAAGCGCCAGATGCATCTTACAGAAGAATCTGCTTGCTCCTTACAGAAGATCCTGAGCATAGTCTCCAGAAGGATCTGAAGAAAGAAGCTCCAGAACATTCTGAGTCAGAAGCATCTGAAGATAGCCAGAAGCATCTGAAGATAATCAGAAGCATCTGAAGCTGAAGCATCAGAAGTATAGAAGAATATTGATTGAAGAGTTTCTCAAAGCATTGATCTACAGAAGTTTCTGAAAGTACCTACGCTGCCAAGTGATGAAGTTCTGTGTCAAGATGCTCTGATGATCAACACGCTAGAAGCACACAAGCTGCAGAAGACTCTGATACAGCACAGTTCTGAAACTCATCAGAAGACTCTGATCCATTCAGACTCTGAAGAACTTGCTGAAACTGAAGAAGTGTTTTCAAGAATGTATCTGTTGGAATCATTCAAACGTCTCTTTCCTTATTTGTGTTAGACACACTTACACAGACAAAAAGGATTTATCTGTGCCATCTATTTAAAGGAAAGGTCAGTACATGTGAAGACAAAAAGGCTCAGACCTTTTGGACTCTCTTTTCAACGTGGATAATTCAGTTGCCTATAAAAGGAGTCTCTCACTTCATTCTTCAGTTACACACTCTTGAGCTATACACCTGCTGAAAAGAAATCACATATTCTTAAGCTCTCATTCTTATTCTTCATAGAATCTTATTGTACTTAAATCTTAAGAGAAAAATCACTGTTGTGATTATAGCTTTATAGAAGCATTAAAAACTCTTGTATTTAATTTACATTGTTTGTAAAGAATTTTCCTTAAGAGGATTCAGTGTGAATCAGTAGCTCTTGAGAAGACTAAGAACTGTAGTTCTTAGGTGATACTATTGTAATCAGTTTGATTTAATAGTGGATTAAGTCCTTGTTGAGAAAGGCAAATCACTCTGGAAGGGTGGACTGGAGTAGTTGTTTAACGAACCAGGATAAAAATAATTGTGTGATTATTTTCAAGTATTATTTTTCCAAACTTATTCAACCCCCCCTTCTAAGTTATATCTCACCTTCAAAATGAATGCGAGCAAGCCCTCCATCACCTCAAACGCGTCCTGTCCGAACCACCCGTGCTGACGCGACCTGAAGTTGGAGAAACCCTATACCTATACTTGGTCGTGGCAAACGAGGCCGTCAGTGCCGTACTGATCAGGGAAACTCCCGAAGGACAAAAGCCAATCTACTTCATGAGCATAGCCCTTCACGGTTCCGAAGTGAGATACCAGCAGATCGAAAAGGTCGCTTTGGCCCTCATCACCACCGCACAACGCCTCTGACATTAATTCTTGGCCCACATCATTGTGCTCAGAACTGATCAGCCCGTCAGGCAGCTCCTCGGCCGACCAGACATGGCTAGACGAATGCTAAAGTGGTCGTTAGAACTATCTGAGTCTGACATCGTCTATGAAGGAATGAAAGCCCTCAAAGCTCAAGTCCTGGCCGACTTTTTCACCGAGATGACCCTCTCGCCAGACCCTACCACAGGGAGCCACAAGTGGACTATCTTCGTCGATGGCTCCTCAAACTCCACGGACAGCGGCGCGGGTGTAACACCCATTTTAATTATTTTCAGTTTCCGGTGTCATTTCGTTCTGTGTGATGTTGTGTGTGAGGATTGAGGAAAGAATGAGGAGAATAATATTAATATTAGATAATTGATAGTAATAATAATAATTAATAATTAATATTAATATTGATGTTATTATTATTATTATTATTATTATTAGGATTATTACTTTTATTAATATTAATAATTATGAGGGAAGTGATATTATTTGGATTTATAAGAAGGATTAATATTTATTTGGAATAAAAATATATTTTTGGGGTATTAAGGGTGTTTTTGGAATATGGAAGAAAGGGAATTGGAAAGAGGAGCACGTGAAGAAGCAAGCGGGCAAGAGCACGGTGTTGAGCAAGGCTGAAGCATTAAGATCAGCAGATTGAACAAGCGGATTTCGTGCGGATTGAGGAGCTTGTTCATCATCAAAGCTTGAATTGAGGTAAGGGGAGAATAATCGGTTAAATTCGGTAAATGCATGATTAATCGGTAGAAAAGGGGGAAATCCCTAACCCCATAGATTCCATGATGATTGATGTTGATTGCATGCTGTTATTGTTGTGATTGTTGTGTTGTTTGATGTTTAAAATCGTTGCATGTGCTGAGAATGTTAGATTGGATGAGTTTTGGGATTTTCGATTAAGTTCGAAGTTGAGCCGGAAGTTGGTTTTGAGAGCTGAGTTGATGATTAGTCGGATGGAATCGGGGATAGACCCCGTAACTAAGTTGTAATATGTGCTGGTGGTGGGTTTCGCGTTAATCGGGCGAAATCAGTGTGGGAGGTGACTCTGCGGCGCAGAATTTTTCTGAGTACGTAGGTATTTGCTGGGCGAATGAGGGGCGAGCCTTCGCCGGGTGAACTAGCCAGCGAGTGCTGGTAGAAGCTTCTGTCTGGCTTCGCCAGAGGTTTCGCCAGGCGAATGGCAGCGAGTGTTCGCTGTGGGGCTTCGCTGGGCGAATGTGCCAGCGAACCCGACAACGGTTTGAGTTTTTGCTGATGTCTTGTGTAGTTCCTCTGTGGACTTGGACCCTCGTTGGTCATGTGTGATGGGAGGCTTGCTGGAGAGCTGATACGAGCGTATGTTAGTGGTTATAGGGTTGTTTGGCCGGCATTTATTGCAAGTGGCATAATCGTTGAATTATGCGTTATGTATGAACCGGTGTGGATGTGTACGTGAGATGTGTGCACCGTGTGTGTGCTGTGTGTGAGATGTGAGGATCGGTATGCTTATTATGCGTTGCATTTGTATGCTGTTATGTGATGTATTTGGGGTCAGTAGGACTGACATGCCTTGTGTGCATTATATGTGATAAGTTGTGTGGTGAGCGGATCCGTGGGATCGACGCACTTTATGTGCTTGTTATGTATGTATTTTGTGATGGGAATGGATCCGTGGGATCGGTACGCCTTGTGCGTCGTGTATATATATATATACTGTGTGAGGGGGGATCAATAGGATCGGTTTGCACTTGGTGGGCTAGATGTATGATGTGTGTGAATATGGTTGTGTGCTCCCGTAGAGGAGGGTGATGGCCATGTGTCCATCTATGTTGATGAGGTGCTCCCATTGTGGAGGTGTCATACCCCAAATGTGTCCTACCTTTTTTCAAAATTCTCATTTGCCCGACTTTGTTTTTAATTTACCTCGCTTATACAGCATAGCGTATTTTTCAGCAAAAACAGGCATTTTCGCTTTTTAGCCCAATGAGAGCGGGCCACGTGGCATCTTTTTATTTGTTATTATTTTTTATTTTATATATATATATATATATATATATATATATATATATATATATATATATATATATATATATATATATATATATATATATATATATATATATATATATATATATATATATATATATATAATTTTAAGGTAATGTTTTTTTTTTAATTAGGTTAGATTTTTATTTCAAAATTTAGAATTTAAATTATATTTAAATTAGTTTTTTTTATTTTATTTTAATTTTTTTAAATTAGAATAGGTTATTAATTAATTAGATTAGAATTGTTTAAGATAAAATTAAAATAAGATTATATTTAATTAGTTAGATTATTAGTTAATTAATTAGAAATTAAAAGAAAAATTAAAAAAAAGAAAATTGAAATTTATAGGGAAACACGGTTAGATTGGGATTAGGGTTGGTCTTTTTTTTTGGGATAAATAGGGTACCCTACACTGTTCACAGATCCCCAAGTGTGGAGGGTAACCCTAGCCTTCAGCCCCAATTACCAAACCCTGCACTGTTCACGATCCCTAAAAAGAAACCCTAAAACGGCACCTCCAAAACGAAAGCCCTCTCATTTCTCCGGCGCCGTAACCTCTCCGCCTCCATCACCGCACCCTTCTCCCTCACCAAACCAACATTGTAGCTAGTGGCGGACTCCTCAAGGGATATTCATTTCATTCCCATACTTATAGAAACGTCCGCCCTCTTCCCTTTCAGATCTTCAAAATGCAATCTCAACCACACTTTCACTCGCTCCTCCACCAACCTCCATCTCCCCGCCAAATTAAAAGGCGGCGCCAATCCCAATGGCGTCTCTTCTTCTTCCTCATTCACTCGTAAATCATGGTCTCTTTCTTCTCCTTCCTCTTCTTTCAAATTCCGACCTCTTCCTCTTCTTTCCACTCCCGATCTTTCTCCTCCTAAAGCCACTTCCGAAAGCGCCGGTGAATCTGCTGACTCTAATTCTTTTCTCAAAACTCTTCAACTTGGATCCTTGTTCGGATTGTGGTACCTCTTCAACATCTACTTCAATATCTATAATAAACAGGTATTGAAGGCATGTCATTTTCCTGTAACTGTTACTGTAGTTCAGTTTGCTGTTGGGACTGTTCTTGTATCAGTTATGTGGGCTCTTAATCTCTACAAGAGGCCTAAAATAAATGGTGCTATGCTTGCAGCTATATTTCCACTTGCTATTGTGCATACTTTGGGGAACCTTTTCACCAATATGAGTCTTGGAAAGGTGGCTGTGTCTTTTACTCACACTATTAAAGCTATGGAGCTTTTCTTTTCTGTTATCCTTTCCGCCATGTTTCTTGGAGAGAGGCCTACACCGTGGGTGATTGGTTCCCTTGTGCCTATTGTTGGTGGAGTTGCTCTGGCTTCTGTTACTGAGGCCTTTTTCAATTGGGCTGGGTTTTGGAGTGCAATGGCTTCCAATGTGACAAACCAATCACGTAATGTTCTTAGCAAAAATGGTTAAACAAGAGGAATCCTTGGACAACATAACTCTCTTCTCTATAATAACAATAATGTCCTTCTTCTTGTTAGCACATGCAGCTATCTTTATGGAGGGTGTCAAATTCACCCCTGCTTATCTGCAATCTGCTGGATTAAATGTTAGACAAGTGTATACCAGATCTCTTCTTGCTGCACTCTGTTTCCATGCATATCAACAAGTTTCTTACATGATATTGCAGAGGGTATCACCTGTTACTCATTCCGTCGGCAATTGTGTGAAGCATGTTGTGGTTATTGTGAGCTCTGTGATCATCTTCAAAACACCTGTCTCTCCTGTGAATGCTTTAGGTACTGCTGTTGGTCTTGCTGGTGTTTTCCTCTACTCAAGGATGAAGCGAATTAAGTCAAAGCCAAAGGCAGTTTAACTTGTTCAATGGTACAACAACAGTTCGCAACAATAACATGGCAGTTCACGCCGTTTTGAAATGGTAGCAGCGGATCCCTAGCTCGTTTGCGACGTTGATTCCGATGATGTCACATATCTGGACTAAATAACGTAGTAGAACTCGACGCCAGTCGCAGCATGTCACTAACAAGAACGCCATAGCAGTCACGTTAACATCACAATTCAGCAGTTTTTTCGACATCATTGATTCTAGTTTTCGAAGCGCACCATCCTCTAACGTCCATAGCCACGAGTTTCAAGACAACGATGAAAAGTATCACCAAGAACAAGCCAGTGAGAATTCTGGTGAAACGTGACGAGCTGACCCTTGAGGGTATCAAGCAGTTTTACGTCAATGTCGATAAGGAAGAATGGAAGCTAGAGACACTATGCGACCTCTACGAGACACTGGCCATCACTCAGAGTGTCATTTTTGTTAACACAAGGCGCAAAGTTGACTGGCTCACTGACAAGACGCGAAGCAGAGATCATACAGTCTCGGCAACTCATGGTGACATGGACCAGAACACTAGGGATATCATCATGCGTGAGTTTCGGTCTGGCTCTTCTCGTGTTCTCATTACCACTGACCTCCTGGCCCGTGGTATTGATGTGCAGGAAGTGTCTTTGGTCATCAACTATGATCTCCCAACTCAACCTGAAAACTATCTCCACCGCATTGGTCGTAGTGGGCGATTTGGAAGAAAAGGTGTTTCGATAAACTTTGTGACATTGGATGATGCTAGAATGCTGGCTGATATCCAGAAATTTTACAATGTGACTATAGAGGAGCTTTCCATCAAATGTTGCTGACTTGCTCTGATGAGTTCATTTTTGTCATCCAGGATTTTTTCTTTTGGACAAGTTCTATCTTGTTAGCTTTTGATTTTTTTTTTAAATTTTAAAATTTTTCTTGTGGATAATTTCTGCGCAGGCTGCGACCACCGAGCGAGGATCAAAGCTGCATCTTAGCCGTGACAACATCACATCCAAAGCGTTTCTCACAACCGACAGCGATATAACACCTTCGAAAGTCCACGCGGTTCTTCCTTCGTAGTCACACCCACAATAATCGTGTTCCTAACATGAGCTTTGTTTCTTTTGTTTCAGTTTTGTGAGTTTATTACTTCCCCATTCTGTTTGGTTTGCTGCCCATTTGTTTACACAGGTTACGCCATCGCCGGAATTTCAATTATGCGAGGAGCTTGTAGTTTACAAACATGATGTGCGGCAATAACGACATGAAGCGAAAGAACCTTAAGGCTGCTGTCAAGAAGGCGTCTGGTGGCGATAATGCTTGGAGGAATATTGGGCTTGGTATTCCTACTGATATTCTTCGATGTACATCGAAGTTTTCCCATGCTATTTGTGCTGGCACTATTTTGGCTTCTACTCAGGTCTGTCGCATCTTCAATGACGCTTTCGTAGCAACAACAATTCAACGTAGCAGTTTGTGATTCATACTTCGAATGCTTTGGCTTAAGAGACGATAGTTCAACATTGGACCTTGTTCTGAGTACACAGAAACAATCTTAGCTGGTTTCAATAGAGTAAAACAACTCGTCCATCAGCAGCCGGATAGCGATCGGTTACAACGTTTACATCATCATCCTCGCAATGCAACATTCAACAACAATTCGGTAGTAGCTAGCATTTTCAGTTCTCGTAATCAGGAACTCTGAGCAGCATCTCGGTTCACCACCACTACGCAACAAATCCAAGCTCATATCGGATGATGTACCTACTGCCAAGTTTGTGCATCAGCACTGTAAGCTTATTTGTTATGTATTGAACCATGTTGCAATTCTGTGCGTGGATACTAGTTCGAGGACGCCATATTGGTTCCTGTCGACTATTCTGCATCGAAGGCTTAGTTTTGCATCACTTTGATAACACCTTAACATGACGATAACGGTAATAAATAATACCTATCACCATCTATGCCGGCATCGTGATAATAGAATGGTTCTTTCTTTTACCTTTGTGTCGTACTGTTATGTGTTGTTTCTTTTCATCAAATTCAATTTTGTGGCGGTATTGGTATTTCTAGCAGATTTTTGATTCGATTTCGTGGAATTATTGTTTAGTGTCTGTGGTTTACCTTCATTTGTTTAATGTGTGTGCTGTTGTAGTTAAGGTTATCAGTGGTCGCAGCTGTGCAGTAATAACGATTTGTGGCTGCTGTGTGGGTTCATACCAGTAGATCATCGCTGCCAACGTGTATTATTCGAACCGTTCTGCCACAATAAGAGGAGTACAGGACATTCACTTTAAAACCATGGAGGACACTAATGATGTGGTCGAAGATATTCAACGGTGTGCAAGTTAAAAGAGGAGCGGATGAGCTCAGCCGACTCACGCCGAAACTACTTAAATAAAGATTCAGTTGGCATTTGGTTCAGCAATAGGGAACCAGGATGTTGGTGTTGTGTTTTCTTAGAAGATCCAATTATTTTTTTTAGCCATGTTGGATTTTGTTAAGAGTTTTTTAAGTTGCCGGCAAGATTCACTGAATGTTCATCATCGAGCTAGCTCCGACCACGTCGCGGTCTCATTGCGAATGATTTTGTGCTTATGTTCTTTATATCATCGATTTCACAACTTCAACGCTATTGAGTCGAAGACTATAAAAGCTTTGTAGCTCGATACCAACAGTTCAACAAGGTTAGGCACTGTTCATTTTGGTATTATTATCCTGTGGTTGATACTGGTTTAAGGTCATATTATTGTCGATTAAACTTCGACCCAAGTCTGTTTTGCTGGTATTTGCTTCCCAATTTTATTTTGTGGATATTTTTCTGAAGTGAACTAATATAAGACGACAATATGTTGATACTGGCATGGTTGTGCTTAAAATGTTGCGTCTTGTTCGAATCCGATTTCTTTTAGAATTGAAAAGGATTGCTGTTGAATTCTCAATTCTAATACAACTCTGTTTGGTTAGTTTTGAACTCCTAAAATATGTTTTCCTAGTCTGTTTGGATGTTGTCAATTTCTATGCAGGTTTAAGCTTGATTCATGTGCACAATTGGAACAATACAGAGCATGTCGGTTTGACGAATGCAGTAACAGGTTTCTGGTATCAGAATAGAAAGTGGGTGTTGAGAGTCACTCATGTCTGCAATTACAACAAATTCAGCGGCATTACCGGCAACAGCAGTTTATAGCTAGCGCGAAGTGTCGCGGTTCCGACGTTATTGGCTTTCGTTTTCGACCGCAACACAACAGTTCAACAACAAATCCAGCAATAACAATGTCGCGAAAATCTCGTCGGTAAATCTTTGAATCCTGGTTCTTTGGTTCAATTATAAGCACTCAATTAGGCTTGGTTGCTACTGGAGATTTGATGTATTTATCATTGTTTATAAAGCATTTTATGGTTGTTTTTATTCTAAAATTTTTGTCGAATATCCGACGTGACGTCGTTAATATTCAAGCTGTTGTTTTGAATTAACAATATTAGTTCTTGGTTAGTAAATTATATCTAGCTTTTGTTGTGCTCAAATGTCATTTTCAAAAATATATTTCAAAAATCATTACCAAATTAATACTTTTAAATAATAAACCTTTCAAAAATATATTTTATTTAAAACCTATTTCTTCTTAAAGATATTAACCTTTTCAAAACAATTAATTATAATAATATTTTAAGTATAAAAAAATATATATACTTTATTAATAAAGCTAAAATATTTTTCTAAGATATTAAACTTTTTTTTCTTTATTTCAAAAAAACAATTAAATATGACTAGCTTTTCTCAAAATCTTTTTATAAACAATTGATTAATTTATTCTTATATACTCAAATCAAAACTTTTTGCAATTGATTAATTTATACGAAAATTAAAACTATCTTTCTTAATTAAATTAAACTATTTTTCAAAATCAATTTTCAAAATAATTAAATTCTTGGATCTCGCCTTCCTTGAATTTTTAAGCGACCGCTCTCGAGGTGCACACCTTGAGTTGTGATCCTTCCGATCTTATTCAATTTAATTGAAATTTTTAAAAAGATATTTTTAAACAATTTTTATTAATTAGATATTTTTATAATAAATTCCCAAATATTCATTCTTTTAAAATAAAAAACATTTCAAAATTATTACCAAATTAATACTTTTAAATAATAAACTTTTCAAAAAATGTACTTTATTTAAAACTTATTTCTTCTTAAAGATATTAAACTTTTTTTAAAAAAACAATTAATTATAATAATATTTTAAGTATTAAAAAATATACTTTATTAATTAAGTTAAGATATTAAACTTTTTCTTCAAAACAATTAGTTATGATTGATCTTTCTCAAAACTCTTTACAATTGATTAATTTATTTTATATGAAAATTAAAACTATTTTTCTTAATTAAATTAAACTATTTTTCAAAATCAATTTTCAAAAACATTTAAATTCTTGGATCTCGCCTTCCTTGAATTTTTAAGCGACTGCTCTCGAGGTGCACACCTCGAGTTGTGACCCTTTCGATCTTATTTTCTAAAATACATAGCGCGCCTAGTCCGAGTACGCTAATATTTTCAAATTATTTTCATAATTAAATCACGAAATAATCGAGTCCTTGGAGTCGCGCATTCCTCGAATTCGAGAGGGACTACTATTAATGCGTACGCCTTGAATGGTGTGTCGTTCGAATTTTCGTTTCTAAAATACCTCCTTTAATTATTTGGACAAGTATTCACTGTCCAACAAATACTATTTCATAATTAACGAAATGAAAAAGATGTCGTTGGGATCTAGCATTCCAACGATATCCCGACTAATTGATTACGAGGCCGACGTCTCGTTTATCGAGTAGTCGTCATTCCTCCCAAATTATCAACCCGTCTAACCTCGTTCCTCGCCTTCGTGTGATCGAGTCTAAACCCTAGTACGCTTCTAAACCGTACATCAAATTCAAATTATTTTCTTAATCAAATTACGAAAGAACTGAGTTCTTGGAGTCTCGCACTCTTTGAATTCTTGAGT